GCAGGGCCGAGCCTCGAAGGGCCGCGGGCAGCGAGCGGCGGCCGGAGACGGGAACGGAGCTCGGCAGCGGCCTGCAGCACGAGTGCTGGGAGGGACCTCAGCCTGTTCCGCCTGGAGGAGGCTCGGGGGTGGCTTTTTCACGATCTACAGCTCCCTGAAAGGAGGGTGAAGCCAGGTGGCGCCAGGCTCTGCTCCCAGGCAGCAACATGACAAGAGGACATGGTGCTAAACTGCAGCAGGAAATGTTTAGCTTGGATTTTAGGAAGCCTTTCTTCACAGAGCGAGTGATTAGACATTGGAGTGGCATTGGTGGAATCACCATCCCTGGAGGTGTTTAAGGAAAGACGACACGGCACTCAGCACCATGGTGTAGTGGACATGGTGGTGTTCAGCCACAGGTCGGACTCACAGAGCGAGCTCCTGATCACAGAGATTTTCTCAAGCTCATTGATTCCCTGCTTCTGTGATCCCCCACAGCAGGGCTGTTCCTTGGAGCAAGGCCTGCAGAGCCATACAGGTGTCAGGGTTATAGAAGGTCACCAGGATGAGCAACACCCTCAAAGCCCCCCAGTATGGGCCGTGGCCCCCTGGGCCATGGCTGTGTCCCTCTGTCCCCACATCAGAAAGCATTTGCAGATCCCTGCCCCTCACACAGAACTGGCCTCAGGGCTGCTCAGTTCCACTGGACACAGCATCCTCCACCCCACCACCTCCACTTCCCCCAGCTCACACCCACATCCACACTATTCCCAGCGAAATAAATGTCACCTCCAGGTCACTCCCAGCAACAAGAAGCACCAGCTCTACATCCTGGTAAAAAGATTTATTAAGAACCTGCAGAACCTGCCCAAAATGAGGTTGCTGCTCTGGCACTGAAGGGGAAGCAGGGGAAGAGGGTTAGTACTTCTCCAGGCAGAGCCACAGGGTGAAACAAAGCGAGTGGAGGGCACAGAAAGGCAGTGGAAGCACATCTGCATGGTGGAGGAACACCCACAGCAGTTAAGGCGTATAAAGTGCTTGTAGAAGACCAGCCCTATTGAGGGGCTAAATAACACAAGCAGGCAGGGAGAGCAAGGGATGTGGGTACCTGGTGGCACCTGACACAGGGGAATGATGACAGGCTCATGCCCTCCCTGAAACTGCAGCAATAAGGATGCTACCTGCCCACATGACAGTCCCCAGCCACAGCCAGGACGCCCCCAAATAGGATCCAGGCTGCTGGTCTTCATGCTTATCTCCCAGTCATCCAATGTTCAGGATTCTGCTGTGTTTGGGTGCCTCTGCCAGCACAGGGGAAGGACAGTCCCAGTGCAGCACCCTGCCTCAGCTCACTCCCAGAGGAAAAATGAGATAAGTGGGACTGGTCCTCAGCCAGGCTGTGCTCCAGCAGCTCATCACAGCCTTGTGTCCCCCTCTGGAGTGAGCACAGCCATCAACCAGCAACCTCTTCTGCTGCTGGGAGCATCACCAGCCTCTTGGACTCCCCTAAGCATGAATGTCCATGTAGGGCTTGGATGGTTTCCATCCTCTTGTGCTCCTGATGTTTGCCACAGGAGGGGCATGGGGAGGTGCCTTCACAGGTGCCTCATGCCACCAAGTTGGTTCCCTATGTGGGACAGGGATGTAGCAACAGCAGATTCAAAACTGCTGTGTGGGGACAGGTCTCCTGCAGCCACTTTGGGGACACTTCTGCAAAACAGCCCCATGCTAAGGCCAGAGATGGTGGGAAGCAGGGACACCCTCTGCAACTCATGCTGCATCCCTCCAGCCTGCCCCAGCATTCCCAAACACTCCCCATGGACTGCTCCAAGTAATATTGCTTTTCCCTGGAATGTTTTTGTCTAAAATTGCCCTGATAGGATTAAGAGGAAAAAAAAAAAGAAACTGAATAAAAAATAACAATCCCAGATCAATGCTGGAGTTAGGCTCCAAGGCCACCCTGTCCAGGCAGGAGGCACCCTGGTGGTGGGTTTGGGGACAGCAGAACAGCCAAAGGGGCCTCTCTGGGCGTAGCAGGGGAGGAGGCACTGCAGGGGGAACAAGGGCTGCCTGCAGGAGGAATGGACCTCACAGAGATGGCTTGGGACAGGATGGGGTGCAACTGGATGGGATGGGACAGGAGACCAAGCTGGTGGGGATAGGAGGGACAGTGTCCCACCCCTCAGTGGGAGTGCAGGGAGAAGGCCAGTTTGACACAGCTGAGCTCCTCCCCGCCATTGCTGACGACCACCCGGACACGGTAGTTGCCATTGGTCATCCAGGAAGGGAGTTCCACATCGGGCACGTCAAAATCGCTGGCTGGCAGGGAGTAGGAGCCCTATGGAGAGAGGGGACAGATAGGCAAGAGGTCAACCAAAAGCCCAGCCAGCACCAAAGGGCACAGAGGTACCCACTGGCACTGCCAGCGTCACCGCAGGGGCTCGGCCGTACCGCTTTGAAGGGGCAGTGGCAGGGGATGCCGTAGGTCAGCAGGGGCTCCGGGCAGGGTGTGCCGGGTGGGATGAGTTCATCCAGAATGCTGCAGACGTCATTGTAGGTGCAGCTGCCCAGCTGGTCGATGCAGGGCAGCTGGATCCAGAGGTCACCCAGTGCTTTCTCTACCACCAGCACTGCCTGGAGGGAAGGTGTTCAGCACCAGCACAACCAGCAGGGGCACCCACAGCTCCTCACCGGCCAACTCCCTCATCTCCTGACCGTGAAATCTTTGGGATGTCTGTGAGGTCACTTAATGCCCTCCTGCCTCCCACCCTGCTTTCAGTTCTTCTCAACCTACAGTTTCTGTTCTTCCAACCTCACCTTGACCCCTTAAGCTAACACTGCCCAACACCTCACATCCCCACCTCCTTCTCCTTTCCTCTGCCTATCCCAAAGCAGGGTGCTCCCATCCTGTAGCTCTGGCTCTACACTCCCCAGCACTTGCCCCACAGTCCCAGGCCCAAACAGACACCATAGTATTGCTCAAGACAGCCCATGCACACTGGACAAGAGACATGTTCTGTCTCATTCCAAAACACTTCCCAAAAAGTGGTGCAGGGCAGCTGGCATGGCCCAAGGCCCCCAGAGCAGTGCTGTGGCATGTCCTTGGAGGGAGCAGCTGTGTTAGCTGCTGAAAAACAAGTGCCACAGTGACCTCCAGGAGCACCCACAGCACTTGGATTTCACTTCCCTCCTGAAGCCATTACATCCCCAAGACATGAGACAACTCAGGTGGTTTCCTAGGGACAAGGTTGTGAGGCTCCTGCTGAACTGTTTGCTCCCACCACAGGTCTCTCCATGACCACTGGCCTGTTCTGGCTTACAGAGCCCAGTGTGCTCAGCCCTGCACCTCCCTGCATCTCACTCCCCAAGGGCTGCTCATTCCTGTACCCAGTGACAGGCATTTCCCAGCTGCAAGTGGTTTAGAGAAGCTCTGCCCTCCCTCACCACACAGAGACACATCTGGCACTTACCTTCAGAGGAGAACCCATGCTCTTGCCACTCTTGACAGCCGCGCTGACACGCAGGCTCCCCGGGATGCTGATGGGGTCAGGTGCCACAGAGAGGCTCTGCAGCACCACGGGGTCCCTCTTGTCACCACAGTTCTCCCAGGCAAAGCCACCAACCTGCAGCACCGAGGGACAGGAGAAGTTAGAGGCAAGGCAAGCCCTTTCTTGTGTTTGCAGGAGGTTTATCCAGAACTGCACTTCTGACCCCTGCCAAACATCTGCTCACAAAGAGCCAGAAAATGACCTTCAGCCCCTTCAAATGCCAGTTCTTGAGCTCCCAGCTTTCCAAGATTGAGGACATTGTAGAAACCCTGTTCATGTGTTCATTTGTATGTACTTTACACCCAAAGATTACCAGGCTGCAATTTCCAAACTTGCCTCAGCTCTGCCTCCAAACACTTTGCATGTGACCAAGGCAAGATGTATTCTTCATGCCAGTGGCACCAAGCAAGGTGTGTGGGGACAGGTCAGAGCAAGCTGGGACCAGGTGGTGGCTTCCAGGGGGATGCTGGGGCAGCAGTGTGAGGGGATACCCTTGGAGGGGCTGTAAGGTTGGCACAGCCTCCCACCTCATCCAGGATCAGCCCTACTGTTGCGAGCCCTCATCCACCAGCTCCAGCCACCTGGTTCCACACAGGAGCAGCAATCACTCGGGGACCAGATGAGCCAGGCTCATCCTCTGCCTGATACACCCCAGGGCCCTGATCCTGAGCTACAAATGAGTACAAATCCTGATCCAGAGTATAAATGAGCCAGGGAAGCAGCATTTCCCTATGGGATAATGAAAATCTACATGTAAGGAGATGTCACCTGAATGAGGGACACCACTTATGTGTCCTGTCTGAGTTAAGCGTCATGCTGGGACATCTCCCCTGTTTCCTACAAGTCCCACCAACCTCTCCAGCCACCACCAGTAAAGACACTCCGATTCAAAGGTGGAGGGATGGCAGCACTTGTTTGCATCAACCACCTCTGAGCCTGCCAGAGGCAAGTGGCAAAAAGACCAGTCCCAGCTCCCTCCCCAAGCAGGTTTGGCCGGAGCATCCCGTGTCCCCATGGCACGATGTGGGGCTCTCACAGCCGCAGAACCGGTGGAGGCTGTATTGCCTGGTGCCACGCAGCAGCCCCAGCGGGCACAGCGCAGCCCACGCAGCTGAGCAGCCCGTCCCACCATCCTGCTCGCCCGCCGGGAGCAGCCCAAGGCAGGACACAGGGCTCAGGACAAGTCGGGACAAGGGTAGGCTGCACCCCAACACTGAGCAAGAGCTGGGAGCCCCCAGCCCAAGAGCCCCCAGCCCAAGAGTCTGCAGCCAGAGCCTCCAGCGAGCTGAGCATCAGCGTGTGGCTGCAGATTGCTGCCCGCCGAGCCCCCTCCAGCCTTCCCAACCGGTTCCCTCTTCCCTCGGGCAAGCACAGCTTTCCTGGAAAATAAATTGCAATATTTCCCTCCACACCGCGTGAGAGTTACACGTGGTAATCGGCTGTGTCTTAATCAGCGCGTGTTAATGAGCCCGGCCCAGCACTCCGTGGGAATAGGGAAGAAGAACCTGGACTGGAAAACACTGATGGAGCAGCAATATGAGAGCCGGGAGACGATCATCCGAAGGAGGAGGCCGCTGGATTTCTGTACTGAGAAGTGTTTGTAAACACTGGATCCCCCCTGCTCCGAGCTGCCCCCAACCTCCAGCACTGCTCCCCAGCGCGGGGGGCTGCGGGGCACCAGGGGCTCCGTGGGCTCCACTCCCCTGCCCAGCCACAAACCCGCACCCACCAGCGATCTTCCACCCTGACGGGGCAGGAAATCGGAATGTCGG